CACCTCACGGGTACCTGAAGACAGCACATAAATGGAACAGGACTAAACTAACTTGTTTTTTAATGCTGACAGTGTTGATTGTGTTTTGTGAAATGAATGTAATAAGAATGTTGGTAAATGGTCTTTTATTAATAATCAGTCATTTAATAATAATACTCTGATATTGTGGTTCTCAAGCTTTTTGACTCGAAGGCCACCTATTGTCCAACACAATATTTGAAGGCCTTCTTATAGGCTTATATTTCTGGTATTTCTGTTGTAATTATGAAAACTTTGCTTGTATTAAAATTTTTTGCAACAGAAGCTGGAAGTGTTGGTACATTAAATTAATTAACTTACCCCTTTTTTGACATTTTGGTGATTCCCCAAGTATCAAGAACTCTATTTTCTTCAATAAAAACAATACTTATTGAGGGGGGGCAGAAATATGATTTCCGTGTATATCTTAAAAAATGTGATTAGAGTTAGATTATTTTAATATATTACTCATTATTAATTTAAGTACTTTAAAATCATCCTTATGCCGCCATGAAAGTTTTCTGAGGCCCCCTAAATATTTAAAAGTTTTTTTTTTTACCTATAAAACAATTGGTCTTCTAAATTAATTGAAATTTAATTTGAAATTAAACACTTTTAGTTTATTATACCCCATACCTGAGCCACGATGGTAAAGTTATATGGATGATTGTTGCATAAATTAAATTGTTGCATAAATTAATGGCATAATCAAGTATGTTATGTTCTGATACTGTGTGTTGTGACATTTCATTGTAACCTTGGTTCATGACTCGTCCAAAAATATTGATCCCGCGAGGGGTGGTGGAACAGTTCCAGCGCCGGTTTCGGAACTGATGTTGACACTGCAGTGGTTAAAATGCAACAAATAGCTGTAAGTCAGAGATTTATATGAAACTGTTAAAGCTTAAATGTTAAAGCTCATTTCTAGTCTAAAGAGTATTTGTGGGCTAAAATGTGACCGGGGCTAGTTGTCACAAACAATAGAGAGAATAAAAATGGTCTATGTGAGTTCAATGAACTGTGTTTTTTATCGGGACAATAACAGTAGAAATGTACAATACTTTTTGTGTGGCCAGAATCAGATTCAGAAAGAGCTTTATTGCCAAGTGTGTTTATATACACAAGGAATCCGTCTTGGTGACAGGAGCTTTCTGTATAAACATTTTTGACATGATTATTTACCATCATGTCCTTGAAAAAAATGAATGTCAGTACTGTATGCACACAAAATTGTCATCATGAGTCATTGTGCTTCAGTCTCTCTCACTTCCTCAATGACCATCTCTGCAGCCTTTCGCACAGACTCCATGACCTCCCCCCGTGCCCGGCACACCCCGACTTGGCCTGGTGTCAACCCCCTCAGTCGGCCACATGGTTCTGCACCAGACACAGGACGTGAGCGTGGCAGACGTGCCAGAGAACTACAGAGAGAATACAATGTAATAGTGTCAAAGAAAAAAACAAAAACGGACATATAAATAAAAGGACAACCTTTTGTAGGTAAATTGAAAACAGCAGGACGAGGCAACAAAGAAACAAAGATAGAGTAGAAACAAAGAAAGTGTGAGAAAGATATATGTCACCATCTTTTTACAAGTTATGGCATAACAAACAAACGCTTTCATACAAGCTAACTTACAGCCAGTTGGTTGCCATGGTGAGGTGGGGTGCCCATAGCAACAGCAGGAGGAGTCGTCCCGGGAGAGTCACAGAGGAGACCGTTGGCATCAGATTGCCTGTCTGTCTGACTACCTGTCTGTCTCTGAATTAGTGATCAACACTTGTTTCTTTCAGTCTTACAGATGTACCCGTTACATTGGGGTTGTTCCCCTCATATCTGTCAAAATCAATAGACAGGAAATCACATTGCTAATTTTTACATTATTGTGTGATATAATTTTATGATATTATATCAAATTAATTGATTTTAATTAACAAAACCTGAACTGCTCATCCTTAATCACTATTTTTATGCATATTCATATGCATGACTGGAATAATAGCAATTACATTTTGACAGATTATGACTGGCATCAGAATATATTATATATATTTGCTGCTTAATGAGCACAATCTTCACAAGGCAATTCAAGAAATTTAAACCAAACTGTTTTGACAGCCTTTACAATGTAAAGATTAAAGAGAGGTTTTAAATGTGATATTTCTAATGTAATAAAAATGATTTAATAAATCAAAGTCAATCACTACAGAAGGCAAAAAAATAAATTTTTACCACTTTGAGCTCCAAAAGGATCCAAAATATTCCTGTCGATGAACTGCTCAAATTAAGTTTCAAATCTGCTAATTATCCCAAAATATCATTAACTGGATCTATTGTAATAATTGCCATTAATTCCACTTATGTTTTGAAGATAAAATGCCTCTAAATTGTAAACTTATTGTCACACAGAGAGAGAGATATTCATCTTATGACATTGTAATCTATAACAAAAAATAAATCTATCTCTCAATATCTCTTTGGTTGAGTAAAATAATCAGGACAGGGAAAAAAATGTATTAATTATACAGATAAATGGTCAGAACCCTTTTATGATATCCCATTTTCTTCGATTCTCTATCAGTTATCCCTTGTCCCAGCCAACTAAAAAAAAGAAAGCACTTCCATTTCCTCCAGATCTGTATCAGTATATGTGGGGGAAAAAAAGTTGCCAATAATCCAATTTGTCTGCCAAAATGAGCAAATCCAAAGGTAAAAAAACAGATAAGTGTGGATGAAGTGATGGTTGTGGGGTTATAAAGGAAGGATGGATAAAGGGCGGGAGGGTTGGAGACCTCAGGGAGGGGAGGAGTGAAGGTTTTGGCCATAGTACATTAACATTGAGGGATGAGCTTGCACTTATTGTCCACTTTACTCAGGACGTAATACGTGACCTCTGCTTAATGAGTCCTGCAGAATGATGCATGGGATTATACAAATGCTAACATGCTCAACTGTGTGTTTGTGTTGTGCGTCAAAAAGAGGGCAAGTGACCAAAAGTCGAGTGCCAAATCACTATCTAAATGCATACATCTGTGTGTAAGCAAGAGAAAGCGAGAGAGAGAGAGAGAGAGAGAGAGAGAGAGAATTCCTTTTGTCAATGCATGTGACTTGAGCATCTGTTACTTGAAGGCTGCATCAGAATATGTGAATATGAAATCCTGAGACTCTCACAAAAGAGTTGCGTGTGAAAGCCAGCGGAAATTGACTGAGAAATATGTTCCGTAACAATAAATAACCTGACAGATAGAACAGCAGGGGAAGGGTGCTCAGCTTGAGCATCTGTTACTTGAAGGCTGCATCAGAATATGTTGCCCTTAAATCCTGAGACTCTCACAAAAGAGTTGCGTGTGAAAGCCAGCGGAAATGGACTGAGAAATATGTTCCGTAACAATAAATAACCTGACAGATAGAACAGCAGGGGAAGGGTGCTCAGACCTGTCCTGAAACGAGCCTGTGTGAACGTGTCTTGCCTAATGTTTAATTTTCCCAAACTTTTGTTGCTCTTTTTACGAGTGTCCCCCCTTCCACTTTCTTTCCTCCCTCTGCCCTGCTCCCTCTTTTTCTCTCTCTTCATATTGTCTTCGAAGAAGGGATGACATTTAGACAAGGAGGAGAAAACACAGTGCTGACAAATATTAGAACTGAGGCAAATAAATCACCAGAGAGAGAGAGAGAGAGAGCGAGCGAGAGAGAGAGAGAGAGAGAGAGAGAGAGAGAGAGAGCATTAGGACAAGATTTTGGATTTCGTGGATCTACTGTGGCCCTCAAAAATTAGTTAATAGGAAAGTTCACCCAAAAATGAAAATTCGGCCATCATTTACTTATCTTTCACCTGTTCCAAACCTTTATGAGTTTCTTTCTTCTGTTGAACACAAAAGAAAATTCATTTTTAGAATGTTGGTAATCAAACAGTTGACGGTAGCCACTGACTATAGTATTTGTTTTCATACTCTGGAAGTCAATGGCTACCATGAACTGTTTGATACCGACATTCTTCAAAATATCTTCTTTTGTACAGAAGAGGAAAACTCGTATAGAATTTTGACAACTTGAGGGTGAGTAAATGATAACAGAATTTACATTTTTGGGTGAACTTTAAGCCACAGTTTAAAAACAAATTATTAAACAAGGTGGCATCTAAAAACAATCAGAAAACTAAATTCTGAGTAGTTACTTATATAACTATGGACATTTTCAATCGAGTAATATGAGTAATACATCAATACAATACATCAAACATTTGACATCAATAAACAGAAAGTGTCTTAAATTTTTAACAATCCCCCCCCCCCACACACACACACACTCTCTCTTTCTCTTAAATTATTTTAAATCTTACAAACATCATTTATACCTTTAAAAAAAATGCCATTTAGCATTAAAAAAAAATATTTTATGGAACGCATATTGTTATATGATGTAAAATATGAATACATTTTTAAATGCATTTAGCTTTTGTGGCTCAATATAATGAAACTATTTTTTATTTTTATTTTAAGCATTTAATCTTTTCATTTGTAAAACTGAGCATTATTTTGGTTTAAAATGTTTAATATCAGCATTACTCTTTTTAAATAAATTTTTATGCTAAATATTCAGAAATTTCAGACTTAATTATATAATTAAATTAGTTTGCTTCAAAAAATAATTGATCTGCATTATTATGTTTTTATACATTTTGTCCTAAATATTCAGAAATGTAAGACTTAATTACATAATCAAATTATTTTGCTGCTTTTTTATCTGCAATAATGCATTTTTACACATTTTTGTCCTAAACATTCAGAAATTTCAGACCTAACATAATTACATAAACTACAATACATAATTTAATTTCTTAGATATATTTCTATAGTTGTAGATCTTGTGAAAATTTTACAGAACCATTTATTTACTTAAACACACCTAAGTCTGTCTTTACTGCTGAACTCTCCTGCACCTCAGCAAGCAAATAAATAACTGTGCCCTCTTACAGATTCACTGCCTTTCTCTCCATTTGAGCAGTGCCCCTATCCCTCCCCTCCCTTGCACTTTTTCCACCCCTCTTCTTGTCGTATTCTCTGTTTGTGTCCTGCTGTCCTTTGCAGTGACGTCTTACACTGTCTCCCCCAGCAACGCCATGACGACCTGCACCCTCATGTCATGTCCGGCGCCTCTCTTCTCCTCATCTCTCCATCTGCTCAACACTTGCTCGTAAATAAAATCCCTTCTTTTTAAATCAAGTGTCCAATCTGTCGGAATCTGTTTTACACTCTCATTTGAGATGTCACAGTGGCTAATTGTGGCTGTTTTGTTTGATTTAACATGGGGTTCAGGTGGACACCTGCGCTGGACTGTGAACTACAGTTTAACAGTGTTACTGATTATTTGAGAATATTACATTTTGCATAATGTTTGTAATGTAGTAGTATACTTTATTGTCCTCAAGAGGAAAATTGTTATGGACTACATGTTGCTGCAGACATACAATAAACATATAAAAAAAAAACAAAAATTAAATAAAATCATGAAAATAAAATCAAGATGAACTCTTGTTGTACACCCGCACCGATACAGGTACAAAGGAATTCTTATATCGATTTAACTTACACATTGGGATTCTATATCTTCTACCAGAGGGAAGTAGTTCATATTGTAAATACAAGAAATGAGTTTGATCACCAAGAATCATAACAAAGATTGAAAAATTTAGGGAGGTCTGAATACTTTCCGTACCCACTGTATGCATATATGTGTGTATTTTTAAATAATTAAATAATATTAAACATTAATCTACATATTTTATGTTAATATAATTAAACTTAATTTGTATACATAATTTGTATAAATATTATATATATATATATATATATTATATATATATACACATACATATATACATACACAGGTGCATCTCAATAAATTATAATGTTGTGGAAAAGTTCATTTATTTCAGTAATTCAACTCAAATTGTGAATTCACTAAAAATGTTTTTTTTTATTGGTCTTATGAAGTATTCTAATTTGTTGAGATAGTGAATTGGTGGGTTTTTGTTAAATGTGAGCCAAAATCATCACAATTAAAAGAACCAAAGACTTAAACTACTTCAGTCTGTGTGCATTGAATTTATTTAATACACGAGTTTCACAATTTGAGTTTAATTACTGAAATAAATGAACTTTTCCACGACATTCTAATTTATTGAGATGCACCTGTATATACTGTATTTGTGTGTACATATATATAATTACAGATTAATTTATCTATATATTTTTTAATAATTAATATTTAAATTAATATACATATCTGTGTTTATAAACAAATTAATTTGTATAGATAATTAACTATTAATATCATAATTTAATAATTATGTAAATATAAATAATTATATATATTTTTAAATAAGGAATAATTATTCATTAATAAATATAAATATAATCAAACGATTAATTATATTATATTAATTTGTTAATATATATTATTATTTATTTGTATATATAATTTGAATTTAAAAATATATTATATTATTTGAAAATTATTTGCATTTGAACATGTATATATTATACATACACAAATTATATATATTTATTATTGTTTTACATATTACTCTATATACATACAAATTAAATACAAATTTACTTAGTGTTCTGTAAGAACTGAATGAATGCCAGAGTGACTTTCTGTAAACCATTGCTGAGTCTTGTTGATTTTAAATTAAGATTGAACTGATCTGTTCTGGTTTACAGGACCTAAAGTTCATGTTCTTTGTTTGTGAATGATGCAGTTCACCGTCTCATCCCTCCATCTCGCCACTGGATGTCCTCACTGCTCTTTTGACGAGAGGAAGGCAATGCTAGAAAATTTGTTCTTGTTGCAGGATTGGTATTGGCTATCACCTGGAACAAGCATTTATAGTAGCCCATGCAGAACAGATGCTTCTTTGGAACAGATTGTTTTAACTGCGTCCACTGTGTCAACATTCCTCTGATCTTCAGGAGAATATTATGGGATGGGAGTGAGTGTGGGGGTGGGGGCCGCAGGGTGAAACCCCCCCAAACCTCCCTTAACAGTCTGCCACGATTGGTGACTGTGGGCTACACCTAAGCCCCCTCCCCCCAATCACCATGGTGACTGATCTACCTTAAGCAGAAAGGTGTGCATAAGCATGTGTGTGTGTTGGGGGGACATGCACCTCAAGCACTGATACGCGTTTCTGCTGCTGTACAGGAGAGATGCACCATCATGTGAAAAACAGAGACTTTTGTTAAAGGTGGATAGGACAGAGTATTCAGAAGACAGTACAATAAAATAAGCCTAGAGCTATCTCTCCTCTGCTGCATATCAAAGACAAAGAAAAATACTTATTTGTAGCATTCATTAGACTGCAGTCTCTCAGATATAAGATTTGAATGGACAAACTGTCCAGTGAATACTGTGACCTTTAAGATCCTTTAAAGAAACCCTTCATGAACCAGGCCATAAGGCATGATTCTTGTAATAATTACACACATATATACATATACACACATATACATACATATATATATATATATATATATATTTATATATACACACACAGTAGTCAACATTTGAAGTGGATCAAAAAAGTTAATCAAAGTTAACCTAAAACCTAAATGCACACTTGTCTTAGGACAACTTTGATTAACTTTTTTGATCCACTTCAAATGTTGACTAATGTTGTTCAAATATATATATGTGTGTGTGTTAATTTGTGTTAACTGACAAATCTGAATTTCCAGGTGTTTTATCCTGACAACACACAGTTTCCTCTTTGCTGAAACTTCACAGTTCTTAAGTTCTACCAGGATGACGTGCCTGATTGTTGTTGTTGTTGATATCAGACCCATGTGTTTCAGGATGTAGGCTCACAAATGCTGTAGTCCTCAACACCTAAGAGACATAACAGTGAAAAACAAGAAGCAGCTGATTTGTGAGGAGAGCAATCATGCATTTTTTTCTAAAATAGAAATAAAACTCAATGCCTCAATATTGCAATAAATCGAGGTCAACACAACAGCCTCTTAAACATCTACAAACACGTCTCATTGTAACCATTTGCAAACAAATCTCAGGTAAGCTCAATTGTTAAAAAACGGCATAAGTAAATACATTTCCTTCAAAAGGTCTCTTCAATATAATGGATACATGAAATAATATCAAGTAAAATAAAATGAAATCGTCAAAGCCTACTTGCACTGGACGTGCTGGTTTCGGCCTCATCACTGGCTGCAGCCATGTTCTCAACTGTGATTCTGCAACTAGCTGCTAATGCGCTCACATTCATGTAGTCTCTCGATGAGTCTGGATACATAAGGGCAAAACTCAAGGTCTAGTACTGTCAACACCCTGAATGGTAATATGGTTTCTTCTGTAGCATAAATAAACTGTTGCAGAACTGCTTCAGATGCCATGCAAAACGTAATGAGTAACTGTATTTTTCATTACAAATATAGTGGAGTAAAGAGGACATACAGGTGCAGCTCAATAAATTAGAAAGTGGTGGAAAAGTTAATTTATTTCAGTAATTCAACTCAAATTGTGAAACTCGTGTATTAACTCGTGCATCTGTGAACAGCCAGCTTCTTTGGCAATGAATGTTTGTGGCTTACCCTCCTTGTGAAGGGTGTCAATGATTGTCTTCTGGACAACTGTCAGATCAGCAGTCTTCCCCATGATTGTGTAGCCTAGTGAACCAAACTGAGAGACCATTTTGAAGGCTCAGGAAACCTTTGCAGGTGTTTTTAGCTGATTGGCATGTCACCATATTCTAATTTGTTGAGATAGTGAATTGGTGGGTTTTTGTTAAATGTGAGCCAAAATCATCACAATTAAAAGAACCAAAGACTTCTTCAGTCTGTGTGCATTGAATTTATTTAATACACGAGTTTCACAATTTGAGTTGAATTACTGAAATAAATGAACTTTTCCATGACATTCTAATTTATTGAGATGCACCTGTATATGCTCAAAAATGTCGTCAATTAGAGAGTAAACATTACAAATATTTTTTATAGTCCAAGTATGAAGTTGCGAAAAAAGATACTTAAGCACAGTAACTAATTACATTTACTCAAATACTGGGATTACAGTCAGTTCTATCACATTTGATGCAATAAAACCCTTCATACATTTCAGCTCTTTTTGTCTACGTGACTGGCAGGTTCCTCTCACGAAAAACAGTGTACAGTATAAATATAAATAGAAGTGACTGCTAAATATGTATATCCTAACTGATTTTTTATTGTTGCTTTAAATAGATCTACCCATCCCCCCCCCACACACAAAAAACTTAAACCTGTAATGTATGAATGGATGTAAACATTACTTCTGCATTTCATTCACTATGTGCAATGTGGCATTGACCTGTTGTAATGCATAGGTAGCTGAAGTCAGCAAGTCACTGGAGGTCAGAGAGTCTAAACATGTGTGAGGTTCTATTTCAGGATTGTGGCATATCCGAGTTCGTGTTTTTGTTACACTCATTACAGGAGTCAATCTTCAGACTCCGGTCTGATATGGGATTAAAAAGAAGCACTGTTGCACCTTGACATTTCATCACCTCTGAAACTGTGAAGTGCCACTCTTGTAGGTGTGTGACGTTTGACAGATACCCGAAGTGCACTACTTGTTAGCCCGACTTCCAACCAGGTGCTCATATGCATTTTCTGTCTTCGTGCACCAAAAACCTAGCCAGGTGGACAGACAGCCGCAGATTATTATGGTCTGTCGCCAGCGGCCTGGGGTTTCCCTGGAGACCATGTGACTGGTGTTGTTTTTTTCCTTCCCTCTCTTTTAGGACTTGTGTTTATTATGGGATGTCAGAGCAGCCTGCTTATGACTATTATGGGATGCCGGAGAGGGCGGGAGGGGGCAGTGTCTCCATAGCAACGTGGTTGCTAAGGGGGCAGGGACTAAGAAAGGGGAAGGCAGTGTGTACTTGCTGGTATTGTGTGCGAGGGGGAGATGATTATTATGGTCTGTAGGTTGCGAGGTAACTATGCAGAGTTGAGTGAGTGAGTGTTGTAGGGAGGGGGGAGCGTGCCTAGGATTATTATGGGATGTCTCTACCCCCCCTGTCCAAGTATGAAGTTGCGAAAAAAGATACTTAAGCACAGTAACTAATTACATTTACTCAAATACTGGGATTACAGTCAGTTCTATCACATTTGATGCAATAAAACCCTTCATACATTTCAGCTCTTTTTGTCTACGTGACTGGCAGGTTCCTCTCACGAAAAACAGTGTACAGTATAAATATAAATAGAAGTGACTGCTAAATATGTATATCCTAACTGATTTTTTATTGTTGCTTTAAATAGATCTACCCATCCCCCCCACACAAATTACTTCTGCATTTCATTCACTATGTGCAATGTGGCATTGACCTGTTGTAATGCATAGGTAGCTGAAGTCAGCAAGTCACTGGAGGTCAGAGAGTCTAAACATGTGTGAGGTTCTATTTCAGGATTGTGGCATATCCGAGTTCGTGTTTTTGTTACACTCATTACAGGAGTCAATCTTCAGACTCCGGTCTGATATGGGATTAAAAAGAAGCACTGTTGCACCTTGACATTTCATCACCTCTGAAACTGTGAAGTGCCACTCTTGTAGGTGTGTGACGTTTGACAGATACCCGAAGTGCACTACTTGTTAGCCCGACTTCCAACCAGGTGCTCATATGCATTTTCTGTCGTTCGTGCACCAAAAACCTAGCCAGGTGGACAGACAGCCGCAGATTATTATGGTCTGTCGCCAGCGGCCTGGGGTTTCCCTGGAGACCATGTGACTGGTGTTGTTTTTTTCCTTCCCTCTCTTTTAGGACTTGTGTTTATTATGGGATGTCAGAGCAGCCTGCTTATGACTATTATGGGATGCCGGAGAGGGCGGGAGGGGGCAGTGTCTCCATAGCAACGTGGTTGCTAAGGGGGCAGGGACTAAGAAAGGGGAAGGCAGTGTGTACTTGCTGGTATTGTGTGCGAGGGGGAGATGATTATTATGGTCTGTAGGTTGCGAGGTAACTATGCAGAGTTGAGTGAGTGAGTGTTGTAGGGAGGGGGGAGCGTGCCTAGGATTATTATGGGATGTCTCTACCCCCCCTGATTTCTTTGTGTGTTTGAGGATGTTCGCTTCTGGTCACTAACGCTGGGGAAAGGGGAGAAGAGTGGACGACGTCTCCCAAAGATTTACACCTTTTCGGAGCTTCTTTTTTTTATTTTTCAGTGATAGGTAGTAACCTGCAGTTTACGCGTCAGACTAAAGCTAATCATACCGCCGACTATCTACACCTTGGACTGACCTGTAAGTCAATTCCTCCCATCCACCTCCAACCGCCTGCGTTAAAAAAAAAAAAAATTATATATATATATATATAGATATATATATATATATATACACACACAAAGACATTTACGCTTCTCGGTAAGTTTTTCTTTAAAGCATAAAACAAAAAATAAACAAACAAATCTAAAATGACTGGTAACTTACAACTGCGAGACACCGCGTTTTAAAGCGCCGTGTGGTGTTTGTCGGGGGCTTCGCGACCTCCGCGTGTTATTTATTCAAGGAGGAAAGTTTTAAAGATACGAATCTAACCAGAAACGAAGGCAGATAAACGCTTTAACTCAACTCATCCAACCGGCTGCCATTTTCCCTGCAGCCGGATCACTTGACTCCGTTTGCTAGCTTTGCTAACTTGATTGACAGCTAAGTTGAGGCGTCTTTCGCTCTCACCCAGCGAGAAAGTTTACGAAAAAAGCCGAAATGACACGACTACGTCGTTGTATGATGTTGTAGTTTTTAAATGTCACAATCGTTAATTGATTTTTAATTCATCTTAACACAGTTAGCCTCCCCGTCACTTGTTTATCTTTTTCTGTCAGTATGGGGTGCTGCTAAAAACCAGAGCAAAATATTGTTGTCATTTCCATTTTATCAAGCGTCCGGACGGGAATATGTCGGGGAGTGAAGACGACAGGGACCATTTTGGACCCATGAGAGATGGTAAGGTTTAGCTGCCCTGTCAGGACCCTCATTAATCACATCATATTATATAACTTCTCCAAATGAGCCTAAACTAGCAAATTAACTGCTGCCATGTCAGTGTACTTCTAGACAAATGGTCATTTCTGTAAGGAGAACGCTGCTAGATTTAATGTTTATATATTTTGCTCGAGCTGGCGAGCCACGTGTTACTGCATCATACACATATTTAAAGCCAAATCTTTAACGTTAGTTTATGATGCAGTAGCGGCAAGCTGTATGCAAAAGTCAAGTCACTTCCTGATTCACTGGTCAGCAGATGATGTTAAAATTATAGATACACCTATTTGTTACGGACTCCTTAGTATCTTAAGAGCTAAAGATGCTTGTTTTTTCTACCTTAGCGATCATAACGCAATATCGTTAGAATAGTGTGACAAACCCATTTGTTTTGCTTTCCTCTTCTGGCCGGTGTTCTGACGATTTGTGCTACCCTGTCAGCTTTTGCTACCTCCCATTAAAACAGATGGTAGCATAATTCGATTGCGAAAAGTGCTACCTATCAGATTTTGCTTCCAGCATGATATTAATAAGGTGTGAGGCTTTATTAACATGTACACCTACCCCAACCCTAAACCTACCCTTACAGTTGGATAAATACAGTGTTGGTATCATAATCTGATAGGTAGCATTATTTGTCAGAAC